ATGGAAAAACATTGAAGACCCAAGAGCAGAATTCCCATGTGTGTTGGAAACTACGAATAAGAGAACTGTCACTGCAGAAAAATGGGAGCCACGGCGTGAGAGCCATCTTAAAACTAGAACACAGCCAAGAAATGGGACAAAGAAGGTGAAGGAGGCAGGTTGGGAGGCCAGGAAAGGGACATACAGCCTAAGAACAGGGGTGCTGCTGCCAAGGAGAACCCCAGCATCAGGAAGGGAAAAAGATGAGCTTCCTGGTAAAGTGAGATGTTAGAAAGAAACACTCGAGCCCCCTAGGCAGAAGGAAAGTCCCAGCTTGAAAAACTTGACTGGATCTGACATCACAGGATGTGTCTGAGTTTGGTAAATGAAGGAAACCTGTCTGACAGCCACTTAGATGATAGTGAAGAAGAATAAAGATGGAAGAGCATGAGTCCACGGAACCAGCAGACACAAACAGTCTTGTGAGCCCAGAGAGTCCTGAAGCCAGAAGATAAAGGGAGGACTGTCAGCAAGAGAGACCAGAACATTATGAACTCAACCCTATTTCTAATTACTCTGTACAAAGGGAGTACCTAGGAACATTTTCTGTGACTGGAAAAGCATACCCCCACATAGTGTTCCTAAAATGGTGAATAGAAGATACACTCAGATCAATAAAGCAAGACACTGAAATCAGGAGGGGAAGATGGAAATGTTCATGTGTGGGAAAATTGATGTTCACCACTGACACCAGTCTCAGGGGGCATGATGAACATAGGCCTAAAACCCTAGCACTCAGGAGACTGAGGCAGGAAGATCTCCAGTTTAAAGCCAGCCTGTTGCTATGACTACACAGTTGAAAGCAAACTTCCAGACCTGTTCCTTAATTTCCTCTGAATTATACAAAAGCTCTCCTTATGTAAACGACACTCCAGTGTCACCTGTGGTTGATTAAGGATGGCCAGGAAGCAACCAACAGCAGTGTGGGAAGGATCACCCCAGCCCATCCTCAGTGCAGGGTCATCTCTCTTTGTGGTCCAAAATTATCCAAGATGGCTTGCTTCAGACCTTTGGGAAATGGTCTCCTGGATTTGACCAACATCAAAAGCTACCAGTGAAACTAAGCCTGCTGCCTGCTAAAGCACCACAAACGAAAGAGTGAAGGGGATCTGAGCACGTGTGCAAACTAAGTGGAGGCAGGAGCAGCAAAGGATAGCAAGAAGACAGTACAGAGCATTGTGTATAACAGGGCCTTGCTGCCTGTGACCACAATAAATGTAAATGGACCAGCTGTCTCTATCAAAAAAGCAAGGACTATCAGGGCAGTTGTTCAAGATAGCAACTTGATTCAGAACTATCTGAAAGTACTCGTAGCAACACAGGAAAGGTTTAAAGTGAAGAGTAAAGAAAGCTATACCAGGTGATGGGATTGAAAGGAGTGTGGTGATGTCCTGTGTCAGTGCAGATACTTAATGACATATATTTGTCTGTACACTTGTAGTTCAGGTTGAAAATGAGCCGTCATGTTTGAGACCCCCACAGCTGACAAGCATGCCAGGGACACAGATGAGGAAAGCAGGACTGCAGATGAAATGGCCAGAATTAGTGTTTAAAGTTGAAAGTTACATGGGGTTTGAAAGTTAATGTGTCCAGCAGACTGTGTGTAGATCAAATAATCACCACCAAGAGCAGGAGGAGGGAGAAGCAGGGCGCAGGTCCCGTGAACCCCACCTTCCCACAGATGCTTTGGTAGTTACCTATGGAAATTGGTGTACAAGCAAGGCTGTTCTTCATGTGTTCTCAGTCCCAGACAGAAGCGGTGTGCCAGCCTTCCTTCCCAGTCTAAATCATGGAGCTGAGCTTCCTTAAGGCCACAGAGAGTTGAAGTCAGATTGTCTTGCAGCAGGCTAACGCAGAGGTGGCCTGGCTCTCGGGGCCTTGGTTTGTGTCCGTATGAAATTGGCAAGATGCTACTTCCAGGGTTAGTGCTACAAGGGAGCCATCATTTGTGAGGTCATTGATGTGATCGGAATAGGGTGGAGCACACCGGATAGTCACACGTGGAATTAGGGTCCCAATTAGGATGAAGCAGAAAGAACTCAGCTTGGCTAATAAAAGATGTTCTTGGAGTAAGTGTGTCTACACAAATCGGAAACAATGAAAATAACCTAGATTTGGAGAAAACAACCCTCCAAAAAGAGGAAAACTTAACATTGAAATTATTAATTAGCTTAAAAAGAAACACCTGGAATTGGTTGCTGGAACTGGTTGATTATTAAAGATGATCTTTAAATAATCGTATAAAGAAGTGTTGTTTTGTTTTTAACCTCTGTTTAACCCACATTTTTAAGGCCAAGAAGTAAATGTAGAAGAAGAATGTCAGCCTCACATTCAGACTGTTCAAATGTTCAAGAACTGCCTGTGTATTCATCAGGACATGGGAGCTTTGACTATATGCATGATTTTTTTTTTTCTGTGTGGAAAATGACCAAACATATCAGAGAGGAGAATAATGTTAATAATCTCCAGTAAGCTTTCTAGGCTGAGGGAGTTTGACAGGCACATTCTTTAAAGTATTTAGCATGCAGGACTCTTCCCCCTAAATTCTGAGAAAATGGAAAACTGCTGGATTTTCAGGAAGCCCTGATTGCGGGTGTATCCCCAAGAATGGAAAAGCAAGGTTGCTTTGTGTCACGAAGACTGAGGCCGGTGTTGCAGGGGTTATGTACGGGACTCACCCAGCTGAGTAGCCCTGGGGCCTGAGCCCTCAGCTGTCTGAGGCACTACAGAGACATCTGGGTTCCTGCTGCTGCGGCATGCCTTTGCCAATGACACTGTCAGATGGGACACACGTCATCTAGACCTGCAGGAAACCACATCACCCTGAACTCTGCAGTCCTTGAAAAGTAAGACAAAGCCAGTGCCTGTACAGCAGGGGGGTGTATAAGAAATGAAGTTGTACTTCAGTATTTCAGAGTCAGGTAGTATGAGATACCACAATAAGTTGTACCCCCCCCCCAAAAAAAAAGTTTCTCCTATAGCCAATGCACCTAAAAGACAGCAGGCACACAGTAATTGTACTTGTAAACAGAGAAAATCAAATGAGCAGTACTAAGAGCCTCAGGCCACAGCCTTAGCACAGTGGGTCTGGTGTTCCCTTTCTTGTGCTCTGTCCACCTAAAGCCAGAGGATTGATTGTCCTGCAGGGAGGCCCAGCCCTGCAGGGAGGCCAGTCAGGAGCTTTGGCCGCCGCCACCGCCACCACCACCACCACCACTGATCACTCACTGGACATTTTTGAAAAGCCAGTGCCATGAATACCTGAGATGAGAACTGCAACCTTCATGGACCTCAGAAACTCAGCTGGATGCCTCACAAGTAATAAACTGGACCTGCCGTCAGGGTATTCAGCTTTGAGTGTTTTGTGTCCACACACACCCTGTGGTGAAGGAGTTAGACAAGCAGCGGTCCTGTAGACCAGACCCAGCTAGCTGCCCTGTTTGTAGATAAAGCCTTGGGAGGGAGGGATTCCTTGTGCTCACTCACACATCTGATGCCATAATTTCCATGAATTTTTCCAATGAAATTTTGGGACCTTACCTATGATTTTACATTTTATCAATGTAGTCCGATCAGCGATTTGTGCAGGTGCTTGCCTCAATGCAGCAGACACATGACTCCAAAGTTGGCATGGAGGCAAAGGTCCTATGGGGGTATCTCGTTTCTGGGCTTGAGGATCTAGCCAGGCCTGAGCTCTGGTTCTTCCACTGGCCCAGATGAAATGAGGTAAGAACTGTGTTGACAAAGTTCCAGGCGCTCAATTAAAGCCTGGCAGTGCTTAGCACTTGTCACTACTGTCTCCCAACCCATGGAACAGACCATGTGTCCCTGACACAGAGCTAAACGTTCCTGAGAATTGCGTTTGGGCCACGCCAGCATTTCGGAACGTCAGCAGTTGCTGGGAGGAGGATTGGCTTAGTCTTTCCGGGAGAGGAGGAAAAAGTCAAGTTGTATCCGGGGGAGCACACACTGTGTTCCAGATGAAATTCCCTAGGGATTGCGGGATGGGAAGAAACAGGGCTGGCGGAGACACAGCATGGATGAGCACTGAACCAGGTTCAGAAGGAGGAAGAACGGAATCCTGCAAGCTCAAACCCAGCCTGCAAAACCCCTAGCAGCAGCTCACGCTCCCTGGTACCGTGGGCTGGGCAGAGTTCTCTCTGAACACAGGAAGTATCAAAAAGCGGCAGATGTGAGAATGCACTTGACCTCTCTTACACCCTGGCTCCCATGGCATGGCTTACACACTGCATCTGCCAAACATTTCAAGTCCCACAAATCTCCAGCCTGGGGGAGAAACCCATGGGCTGGAGATACAGCTCCATGCAGATCATATACGCCTATGATGCATAGCCCTGGGTTTTAACCCCTAGGCCACTGCCCCTTCTCCCTCAAAAGTCAGTGTTCCAAATATGTGTTCTGCTGAAATCATTTTGATCCGTAACCCATCATGAAGCTCAAAAGCTATAGGTAGAACCACGGTAATCTGAAGATGGGTTGGGACAGTTGACGAACAGACTTACTGCATGCAGCAGAGACTGTCCACAGAAGAAAGGGGGTAAGATGTGTGAATAGTGAATTTCCACAATAAGAGACAGGAATGCCCAGGAAAATGTGGAGATTCCTCTTAGACGATAGCGGATAAAAACACAAGTGAGGGGCCAGTCATCAGAGACATTGTGGTTGGTTTTATTTCCTTCCAGCTACCTCTATAGCCTTCTAGAAGATACTAGTATGTACAGACCCATCAGTCTTCTGGAAGGTATATGGACAACATCCATCTGGATAATCAGAGAGAGGTGCCCAAGGCACTTGGAACCCAGTGTTGCCATTGCTCAGAAAGGTGAGCCTAGAGTTGGCACAGGACCCTCAGTTCCCCTCCTTGGGTCTTTCTACCCACAAAAGAGGAAGTACCTATCCTCACACGTGCACACCTCTTCATCGTGACATTGTTCAAACAGCCAGCAGATGGAAACGGTCAGGTGTCCATCAGTGGCTGATGGGTAAGTACCTGCAACCCTGCCCTCAGCTGTGAAGAGGAAGGGGTTGCTGATGCTTGGTGCATGTGGTGCACTTTGCACGCTTCGTAGTGCGTGAAAGAAGCCAAGCCCGAGTCCTCGCCGCATGCCTCTGCTTCTGTAAAATGTCTGTTCTGAGCAGACCAAAAAGATAGGAGAATGCTCGGAGCTTGGAAGGGAAGGTGGGTGATGGCTGATGGCATGGTGTCTCGTTGAGGAGACAAAGTTAAGCTAAGCCAGACTGTGGTGGTGATTGCCCAGCCCTGTGACTATGCTAACACAATGCATGATTAAATACCATGAGATAGTTAACACCATTTCAGTAACACACAGCTACAGTGGACATATTGATGTTGTGTGCTCCACCCATGGAGATTTGCCCAGCATCATCTCACTAGCCTCAACTCATGATCCCTTTCCTGATGGACTGCACTGTTGCGGGACCATAACATCTCTTTGCTGCCTTGTGCCCTGCTCAGAGCCTAAATCTAGCCACAAAGAGGTGACCACACCACCCCTAGTGGCCGTCCTAAGTAGAAAGGGTATAGGACATGAGAAGGGACCTTGAAAAGTGGCTATATTGATGGTGAACCACAGAAGAACATTGTCCATGCAACTGAGGAGTGCTTGGCCACAGAGGTGGGCATCAAGATGCCTTGGGGGATGGCATCTCTGGTTCTAATTCTGTCCTTATAGGTCTTAGGGACTCATCAGTCTGTGGGCAGCTAATGGCTGAGCAGCCTCAGTCTACCTCTGTGAGGTTGGTTGAGTCATTTTCAGGACTGACAGAGGGGTCAGTTGTTAGGATCTGTTCCTGCAGAGTAATAGGAGCATTAAAGTTGCATCATGACTGGAGACAAAAGGATAACAGACCAAGTCACAAGGCATGTCCCGTCACTTGTCACGGTTCCTTGGGCCATCCCCAAAGGTGTCAAGGTGTGTGTAGGTTGGAAGCTGACCCAGCCCAGGGAGTGCCAGGTTACCTGAGGCATAATGGAGATAAGTCTGAACTTCTACAGCAGTGGATCACACCCAAGTCAGGGAAAGCATCAACCCATCCTCCCTCTCTATGGCTACTCCTGAGGCTGGAGCCCCACTCCATAGTCAAGGTAGGAGTGTGTAAGAATAAGTGGTGAGGGAAATGGCCTCAACCTAGAGGAACCAGGGCCTGCCTCACCGTGGATGGCCTGCTTGTGGCCTCCAGACCTCCTGAAATAGAGGAGAAAAACCTACCTTCTCCCCTACCCAGGATTCAGTGAGGCTGAGGCTAATAGGAGGATTAGGTAGTAGGTCACAGTGGACCTGAGGGTGGCCTGATAACTCAAAGCCACCTGGACTGCCTACTGGGGAAACTGAGTTCCCTTTTGGAGTGTTGCAGAGGCAGGGGTTGTCATTTAAGAAGACGTGTGGGGACTACACTCAAGGCCTAGGCCATGGGCCTACTGTCAACACAACTCTTAGAGGAAGCAGGGCAGCCCAGCTGTCTGGCTCTTCTGTGGGTTGAGGTACAGCTGGCTCTCTCCGTGAAGTACACAGATCTCAGCCACACAGCTTTGTGCACTCAGCAAACTTATGGGGCCAAAGAGATCAGAAGACATTTCTCAGCACCCCTCATCCCCGAGGCTTACCGCTGGGCTGGGAGCTTTTATCCTTGACCCTGTGGCTCCAGACCCAAGATAGCAAAGGTGAACCAGATACCTGCCCTTGAGCCCCCCTCCCCCGCCCCCGTCTCAACTCCCTTGGGGGTCCACACCCCTCGAAGGCAGCCAGAGTCCCTCAGCGTCTAGCTCTGTCCCTCCAGGACCTTCTGCTGTGGATCCTGTGGGGAGGGATGTCCCCTCACCAGGGACCATCCTCCCTGCTGACAGTCACTTCATTAAGTGAGAAAGGAGACTCACGCTAGGGGTGTGACAGTTTGATGTGATCATGCCTAACCTCATTCCAACTTAAAATGTGTAAGAAGCTAGCTCGTCCTGGGCAGGGTGGATTAGTTTTCTACTGCTGCATAACGAGTTCACAGACTTAGCAGCTCATCTTGGCATGCCTCTGTGGCCAGGGGTCACACTGCCGGCTAGGCTTTCTAGCAGGTATACACTACAGCTGCACGCACACAGATACATGCTTCCCTATCACGTACATATCCGCACACACGCCTCACCCATATACCTGTGCATGTGCTGTCTCACAGTTACACACATGTATATAACACAGCCACATGCACACACAGGCACATGCGCACACGAACCATACATGTGTACATCATATCGTCAAGCACATACACACACATGCCACTCTCACGTGTGCACACGCGTGCACCACACCTGCTTTCGCCCACAGATACATCCACATACCTATGCCCACATAGCCTGCACCATGTGTACATATACATTCACACATGCACATACTGTGCTGATATTTTTCTATAGATACTGTGGTCAGCTAGCTGGAAGACTCGTCAATACCAGCCTGTTAGCCACTGGGCAGATGGGTGAGGTGTCGGAGCAGGTCAAGTGCCGAAGTTCAGTCAGATCTACAGCAGTTCTGAGGGGTGAGTGAACCCCCCTAGAACACTCATCTTCCCTTATTGATGGTCTTCGTGCTGACAGCCCGTTTCCCTGAAGAGACTCACAGTGTGGCTTCTGACCTCTTCACTCTTGACCTTTTCCCACCCAACTGATGTCAGACTTTGCCTTGAAGATATAAAGTCTTCCTCCGGGGTCTCCTTTACCAACAGCCTTTTTAAAAAGCAGACCACCCCTTGAATGGGGACCGGGCCTGAATCCTGCCCATAGTGATGGAGAGCTATGCTGGTGCATAGAACAGGGAATGGCCAGCCTGGAGCTTACCTGGGAAGTGGAGTGCAATAAAAAGAGCCGTCAGCCATGACTACCCAGCACTCCTGAGAACTGCCCCACATTAGGGCCCAGCTTCCAGAAGTTTCTAGGAACCCTTCCACGAGAACAGACTCCAAGAAATATAGATACGAATTTGAGATGGGTTTTAAGGCATTAAAAACAGAAGTATGCACACCAGCATTCAAATTCAGCAAGAGCTCAAGTTGATGTTCAAGGGGACCGAAGTTATTTAGCTCTCCAGTGTACATGCCCGTACAGCTTGTCACCCGGCTTAAAACAGTGCTGCAGCTGCTCTTCTCTGTAGAAGTTAAGTTGGGGACAGAACACATCTCCCTCAGAGGGCCCCAACCCTGCCTCCCTGCAGTTCTCTGCCTCCTGGCGTAGAAGGGCTTCCCAGTTCTTCCGTTTCTACTCTCAGTCAAGCCCAGGTTGGGTAGTACATGTATCCAGCCACAGTGACCTTCCACGCTAGTGGCACACACCACAGCGGTGACAGGGCAGACCTTTGCCTCAGCTCCTCTAGTCACATCCACCCCTGGAGCTCCCAGCTCAGGTTCTAGATGGCTCATGGTTGCCGGGTAAGGAGGATCTAGGGAAGAGGCATGTGGTGTCCCGTCCATCTCCCTCAGTGTATCCTGGGCTGCCTCTCATGGTCTGTCGTGACCTGTTCCTGCTCTGTCCCTGTCTTTGAGTGAGGGTCAGGTTCTCTGTCACTGTGGTCTCTGCTCCGGGTCAGGACTAGTCTCCTGGGATTTGAGCCCATCTCTGCCTTTCCTCAGTGGCCTACGTGGGGTCTGCTTGGAGGTGGGCTGTGGACTTAAAGGTGCTGATTCTTTACCTTCTCATCCCTGTCCTCCTGCGTGTGGGTGGAGGGTGGCCTCCCACCCTTCTGCTGGCTCTTAATCAGCATAGCAGGAAGTTCACTTCACCTGCCATCTCCCTTAGTCCAGAAGGGTCCATATTAGAAGACCAAAGGGAATCTTGGGAACTAGAAGAGGATCAGGTAGACATGGCGGGGGTGGGGAGGATCCTATGGCTGCAGCAAGGAGAATAGGGAACAGCTGTTTCTGTACACAGTGGAGGTTGGGACCTGGGTTGTCCATGTCTATGAAGTGGACAATGTTCTGGGTTCTAGGTATTAGAAGATAGGGAACTCCCAGGTGTGGTGAAAGCCTCTACTTTCTCTAGGCAGCCTGCCCACTGGGCTTCAGTGTACAGGCTAGCAGAGGCACCCATGCCCATAGTCAAGATAGAGACTCTGGAGTGGTGCGTGCTAATCTAATCCGGCAGTGATACCCCAGTCCATGTTAGATGTGGGTGCCTGTGGCACCTGGGTCCTGCCTGGTTTTGTGGGGTTCATGTGGTGACAGTGTGGGAGCCCCCTTGGGCACAAGTAGGTGGGCTCTAACAGCAGAAGCGTATCTTGTTAACAGCTCTAAATGCAAAACTCTAAGTTGAGGGTGTGCCCGGAGCCGGCTCCCTTCGTAGCCTCCAGGGAGGAAGACTCTTCCCGCCTTGTCAAGTCTCTGGTGGCTGCAATGCTCCTTGGCTCATGACTGCACCATTTTAGTTTCTGCCTCTGTCTCCATGTGGCTGTTTCTAACTGTCCTGTCTAGATCTGTGTTCCGAGCTCGAATCCTGCCTTTGTACCAATGCTAGTCATTAGATTATCGTCCTCTGTAATCTGGTGGGACTCTGTGTTGCCTTGATTACATCTGCTAGAACCATCAAGGTCAGGGTAGACAGGTCATCCCTCCAGAGGGGACCAAGAGTAACTGGGCACAGTCTCTGCTCCCAGTCATGGAGGCATGAGAATCCAGCTTTTCTCCTAGACTAGCCGCACATGCAGAGCCCTCTCACTGAATAGAGTCCACCTCCACTCCTCTCTGGTTCCATCCTTATTAGGGAGTTTGTTTATGGAAGATCAATAAATATTTGATGGAAGGATGAATAACCGTGGGCGGATTCCTCAGGCAAGCCTAAGGCCTTCCGCTGAGCCTCCTACGACTCCTGAACATAGCTTCCGGGTCCCAGTGGGCTCTGTACTGCTTCGGCGATCACACCCCATTTTGATTAGTTTGGGAAGGTGTTACTTGCTAATTTGGTCAGGGCTTCTGTTTGCTCTTGGGCAGTTGGAAGGTACAGGCCTCTACTAGGCTCTGCCTGCGCAGCATGATAGCATTTTGTCTGGATCACTTTCCAGGGCTCTTGTCTTCCACTGTTGGGAAGGGCTATTCTGAGACAACCTTTAGTCTCTGACACTTCCTGGGTGAGGGACTTGGTGTCCTGGAGGTGGGTACTGGCCTTCAGGTGGCAGGGTGCTGCTGCTTACCTCCAGTCTCCACTGGACTCAAAGCAAGGCCAGCTGTGGTGCGGCTTCACCTTTGAAGATGGGGGGAGCGGGTCCTGGGAGCGGGAGCCAGGCAGTAGACCCAGTGCCTTTCCTGAGCCCTGCAGTTGATTTTGCTACTGTGTCTTGGGGCATTCCCATTGAGGTAGCCCTAAGCAAAGGCCCTCTAAACAGAACCCAGCTTAACTTAGCTAAGTGTCTTGCACAGCTGTTGTCTGAAGGTACAGGTCTGATCAGACTCCTCCCCACAAACCATGTCCTGCTGCCTTCTCAACCATCCTGGAGGGGCAGAAGATAGTTCTCCTGTGTTCCTGGGACCATCGTCAGCCAGAGAGGAGATCCTGGATGCCTTGAACCTGAGTACAAATGACTCCACACCCAGCACTTTCACTGTGCAGGTTCATTATACAGGAAGGCATCTTTGCCGCCTACAGTGATCCATCAGGCCCTTCATCCAGCTACCAGCATGCTATCAAAGTGCACATGGCACTTATTATTTCAGGGCCCATTCCTGTGTGTTGACTGCATAAATGACCAAGGACCTTTGAATGAACCCCGTTTCCATTCTCAGCAAAAGCCTGTCCTATTACTTTGAGGCAAGGCCATACCTGTTGCCATGTGTCCCTTCAGCCCAACACAGTCACTGTGAGGGCTGAGCTGGAGTCTCCAGGATGTCAGAGTGATCTCATGACTACTGTGTGGCTCTGTTATCCTGAGCCTGCAGTCAGACTGTGACCCCAGAAGTGTCTCTGGGCATCAGCACTGTAGGAAATGGTCCAGAGAACTGCCACCTGGACAGCTGCTTGCTCCTGGTGGCATCTCGCTCTGGCCTTTCTCCCCTGGGTGAAATGAGCAGGGCAGGTTGCAGGCTGGCCTTCCTTGTCCTCATCCCACTAGGGTGTCCTTTGTGGCCTAGTATGTGTTCTCAGGAGCTGAGTCATGGTGGTGGGTGTAGGACTCCCTGCTTGGTATCCCATTAGGAAATGGTGCATTCTGAAGGTAGGCAGACTTGTCTCCTAGAGACAATGGTCTTGTTCCAACTGGCTATTGCCCCCCTTCCTGGTGTGATTAACATGCAGGAAAAACTCGGAGTGGAACTCTTGGCCATGAAGGTTTGGAGGCTGGACTCCCTACTAACTGCCACAAGACTGTAGGCATAGCCAGGACAGAGATACCCTCAGAACATCAGGTGGGACAGAGACACCCCAGAATGTCAGGAGTTACCTAAGGATGTTAGGCAGGCAAAAACAAAATGTCCACTATTGTCTTTTTCGTCATGGACTGCCCCCTTCTGCCGACTCTCAGATCTCTTGATCGGTAAACACTAACTCCTGATGTGGATATGTTTGAACCTGGGGAAATTGAGACATCAACCAGATATTCAAAAAACATTATGCAGTACAGCATTGGGTCTGGAAGATACATTCTGCCCTGGGAAGCGGGCTAGCCTTTGGCCCCTCCTTTATAGCAAGATAGCTCAGCTTAAGAACAGAACCAGAGGAATGCAGAACAGACGGGGAAAGTCATGAAAAGGTATCCTGGTTCTCATCTCTGAAGCCTGGTGGTCACCATGATGTTGGGGGCATGATGCTTTATACTCAGATAAGTTATGAGTTGGTGGGTTGAAGACAGGCCATGAACATGATACCAAAGGACCCTCTCTTGCTGCTCAGACCTGGCCAGATGTGCTGTACCACCCAGACATGAACAAATAGCCTGAGCAAGGCAGGGCCCTGAGCTTCCTGATTCCTCACTCTTCAGAGAATTCCTTGGTTGCCTAGAACTAACCTACCTTGGTCCATGTTTCTAGTGTTTTATGATTGCCAGGATTTAAAAGCATGTGCCACCAAGCCTAGCCATATTTTACAATTTTAAATTGAACCACAAACTGTGCCAGCCCTCTGTGGATATGAGACTTGACAGATGTGAGACCCTGGCTCCTTATGAGTTCTATTTTCCTGCAGGAAATGGAACAATCTGGAAAAGAAAGGAGATTGCTGGGCACAGGCTACTGCCAAGTGCTGCTCATACTTCCTTTCTGATTTTACCAGGGTCTTCCTGTGGGGTCTTCCACTCAGACCAGTATGCTCCTCCATGAGGCTGACATATCCTCACCACAGTACCACATGAAACTCTTAATAACACAAGCCACACCTAGGGGTGGAGCAGAAAGGTTGTTTGATTGAAGCAGATTGAAGGCAAACCTTGCTGTCCACCTTAAAGAAGATGATTGGCCGCAGCATCCTCACTGGGATCCAGGTTGTAGAAGTACCCAAGTCATGGCCTTTGATGTGAGCCATGTCCATACCTCACCATACTATTAACCATCACTCAGAATGGAGCTGCATTCAGTCCTACATGAGTGGATTGTTCCAAGCCAGTGGACTCAAGGATTCATTCGGATTGTTCTTGGATCCATTCTGACCAGTGCTCAGTCTGAAAAGCAAGAACAGCCACACATGGGGAAGACAGCAGATCACACCCTTGAGGTTGTAGGTATGACTAAACCAGAATGGTCTCTATAGGTGGAAACATGGGGTCACCACCCTGCCTAGGCCAGTCACAGAGGGAAGTCTCATGAATCTTGGACCTGGGACTTTTATAGCTGATGCCAGACTAACTTAAACCTGGGTACATAATAGAGGACAGCAGTGCCAGCCCCAGGAGTGCTGCTGTGCTCCTCATTAAGAAGGCCTGGTGTTAGTTTTTATCCTTGTGCTTATTCACCTTGTCAACTTGATGCAACCTAGAATCACCCAGGAAGTCTCATTGATAGATCATCTATGTTGGATCGGCATGAGGCCATGTCTATAGGGGATTGTATTAAAAAGGTAATTGATGTGGAAAGATCCAGTCTACTGTGGGCAGCACCACTCCCTAGGCAAGGAGTCCTGAACTCTGTAAGAGGAGAAATTGAGCTGAGTACAGCAAATGGGCCTCAGGCACTCATTTTCTTCTTTCTCTTCATGTGGAGGTAATGTGACCCACCGCCCCAAGTTAAGTTCCTGCCTTGACATCCCTAAAGTAATGAACTGTGATCTAGAATTGTAAGCTGAAAGAACGCCCTTCCTCCTGACGCTGCTTTTTGTCCAGATATTGTATCACAACAACAGAAATGAGATTAAAAGAGGGCTCACCTCAGCTGGCATGGGCTGTTTTACCTCTAAGCGGAGTTCTGTTCCCATCTGGGCACTAGCTGACTGAGCCATGGCACCATTGGGCAGCCGAGAATTCATCAGGGCCACAGCAGCATCCTATGAGCTGTGGCAGCACACGGTGGAGCTCAGGATATGGGCACACAGATGACCTCCCTGTCTGGAGTGCTTCCATGGGGTCAGGAAGATACTCAGCACCACCACTGGTTTAATTCCAGGTCAGACCTCCAAAAAAGAGCATTGTAGTTAAAACAAAGAGGTACCTGTCCGAGATGTGATATCATGATGGGCTGAGTTCCCAGTTATGCCAGCACCCCTGGTCTGAGTTCAGCTTGCTTCAGCCATAGGTGGGGTGGGTATCAGAGGGAAAAGGCCTCTGTAGTACCCTTCTTGAGGATAGGGCAGAAAGTAAGGCCAGGTAGGGTAGGGCCAAATTGCTGAGTTTGAGCAGAAGATAGGCCTGAAGTCATGCATGGTACTCACAGGACATGTACAGGTCAACTGGAGCCTTACAACATGTCCAATAGGACCCCAACAAACCTGGAGACCCTGGAAAGTCGGTTAGCTGAGTGGGAGGTTGGTGTCTGTTGTGGCCCAAACCCAGCATGTGGTGCCCAAGTAAATAGAGAAGGATGTCATGTAGAGCTAGGAAGGATCCCTGCATATCCCCTAGGTCTGTCCTCATAATATCATGACATGGTGGTTCCTAAGGGATAGAACAAGGAATATGCGGATGTGGCCATGTGTTCTAACATGTCACTATGCTAGGCTTAGATGTGGAGGTGACCCCACCATTCATTTCTTGTTGGGCCAGGCACCTCCAAGCCACAAGCATGGGCGAGACAATTCCCAATTCCTGGACTCTTCCTAGCCATGGGATCTGTGCCACAGTGTATCTCCGTCATAAGGTCCTCAAACTGCAGATACTTCTCTGGGGCCCTGTGGATTCTGCCATCATCTCAGTCCCCTCTGGACCTTGCTGTATCCCTTAGGGCTAAAGCACTGAATGCCTAGGCTATACATGAAAGGGCCAGGGGTACCAGTAAACAGTCACTACCACTGGTTAGGTCATCAAGTGGCCACAGATTACTGTCTGGGACTACCACTCACTATGTGCTAAGCTTTGCCATATGCCTACCTTTTTCCTATGGTCTGTCTTTGAGTGCAGCCTCTGAAGACACTATAATCCTCATTCAGTGTCCCACATTCAGGAGAGTACCTGGAGATGCTGGTACCTGAAGGCTTCCAGTCCAGGGCTGAGCACAGGCCAGCCTCCTATTACTCCTGGTGTCCATACCAAGCAGAAGGATTCTGGACTACCATCCGCTTGTCCCCACATAGTTTGGGCTTGGGGGCAGGTTTCTCCATCCTGTATGGCAGGACATTTGGTCTCAGATCCAGCTGAAAAAGGCAGACCTTGGATTGTGCTGACCCAATAGATAGGACTTATAGCTACGCATCAACGGACACCCAGGACACCCTGGGGACACCCAGGACCAGTGCTCAGCCAGATGGCTGGGAGGGGAGCATGAGGTAAGGATGAGTGGGAAAGTGAGTTGTGATGTAATTAAAGGTCTAGAGTCCCAGAAGTTGGGGTTTGTAACCAGCTCTGGGCATGCCTGGTTGTACAAGTCAGCTATCATGGGCACACACGTGGGACACAGATGGCATGCTGCTGAGATGGCAACTGTGACAGTCAGTGACATATGAGTCACAGACACTTGGGACTCTAGGACACGGCCAGCCAAAAATCTTTGGCTCTCGGGCCCTCTGGCTGGCCTCCCCCAACAAAGACTGACATTGGAAATCCATCATAGCCTGCACGACAGGAGCCCACAAAGGCTTGCAAGTCCTTCTTTGTGTGGCCACATAGTTAGGTGTGGTGCAGACCAGGCTGCTCTCCCAGAACCTTGTCCAGTCACCCTGCCTTCCACTCAATCCCAGAGTGGTTTGGGGGCAGCTAAAAAGAGTCCTGTTCCAGAGGTTCTGGCCTTGGAATCAGGCCCTACAATGGCCATGCTATAATGTTAGATCATGTTGGGCATTGACATCCAACCTGGGAGCTGGAGACACTGTGAAACATACAGAACTGGTCTCATCCAGTGGCCACTGGAGAGCAGCAACCTTCTGTGTCCAGCATACATGTGAGGACCCTTGTCAGAACGACAGTTACCTTCCTGGAGGAGTTCACAACACCTGTCATCCCCAAACTCTCTAGAGACTTTTGGCATCTCCTTGTACTTGAGGCCCCCTCAAAGCCTGGAAAGGCAGGTGGGATCCACAGTGCCTGTACTGGTGGTTAGGCATTCCAGAAGATCCCAGTGCAGGTGGTAAAGAAGCTATTGCAGGAAGAAACCTACAGAATGAGTGCTCACTGTGTCTGCCATGGAAGAGGCCCACAGGAAGAACTAGTCGAAGCCCTCTAGAAGGGTGAGCCCAATGAAATCCACAGGAGAAATCCCAGCACTCAACACCCAGAGGCTGTGACAAGGAGGTTCAGCCCAGGCTGTGGATAGCAAGACCCTGTCTCAAGAAACAAGTGAAGAAAGAGGAAAGAGGGACTAGCCTTTGTCTGGTGTTGGCCTACAGTAACTGTGCTGGGGAGACACAGAGGCAAAAGTAAGAAAAACGAGACTCAGTGACACCCACAAAGGATCGGTTTACCCAGTGACCAGAAAATGTTTTAGGCAAATTACTATTACTATCAACCACACACACACACACACACACACACACACACACACACACACACACACACACACACACACACACACACACACACACACCGGAGACTCAGTACCAGGAGCAGGGCATTTTATTCTATGGCTCTGAAAAGCCAGACATCAGCACAAAATGGCAGGCATACTGATTAAGCATAGAGCACTTTTTACACTGCTAATGAAGATCCCTTCTTCCCTTCCCCCATTGGCTCAGTTATCAGGAGTGTGAAATCTTACACATCACCTATGTCTTTCACTCTGCTGCTTTGGGTTTGTATATTTCTCTCTCTTTCATTTTTAAGATTTATTTAATGTACACAAGTGTCTATCTGCATGCATGTCTATACACCGTGTGTGTACAGTACCCAAGAAGGTCTTTCAGAGGGCATCAGGTTCCCTAGAACTAGTTAAAGATTGTTGTGAGCCGCCGTGTGGGTGCTAGGAACCAAACTCTGGTTCTCTAGAAAAGCAGCCAGTGCTCCTAGCCACTGAGCCATCTCTACAGTCTATGTTTCCATATTTCTTTTTTTTTTAATTTTTATTTGTTCTTGGAGAGTTCATAAAATGTGTTTTGATCATATTTATGTTCTAAAAACATGGATGGACTCATCTCTGTTTTGTATTCTATTTTTTATCAATTCTTAAATATTTTCATTTTTATTTATCTTTTAAGTTAGCACATAAAGTAAGGGATTTTATTAGAGCATTTTCATGCATATGTATCATTATACTTCAGCACAATAAAGCTAATAGATGACAGATATGGAGCCAATATTACATTAAGTGAGACAGCTGAGAGCGAGGAACAAGGATCTATGTTCAATATTGTGTGTGACACCATGGCCCCAACAGTATATTAGTCACACAGCCCTCCAGGAAAAGTCAACTTCCATGCCTAGCACGTCCAGTGGCAACTCCTCTAACTTGAGCTGGGTTGGAGAGGTAGGGACATGGCCCTGTCACCATGAGGCTGACACCACAACCAACCTCAAGAAGATCTAGGCGATCCTCTGCATTTGGAACCAGCCCTGCCCAGCTGCCCACAAACGCTAGCCCCGGAACTGTGAGCTATGGAGCTGCTGTTGTGTGAATTATCCACGTACAGTCTTCATGTCCTGCAGACCCAGACAAATGCAGAAATGGGCTCAGTGGGGAGGGGCCAACAGGGATAGCCTGCTGGGTGGGGATGAGGCTGCCAGTGAGCTATGTCTCAGCAGGTCCATGTCCAAGGATAGCCCTCCTAACCATTGAGTGGCCTGGCCTAGTGAACCCTGCTTTGTGATCCTGGCACCTAGGGGCAGGGTCTGGGAGGAGACAGCCAAGAGCTTTTTGTGTTTTGGAAAAGGGTTGGACCAGCCATGCACTAACAGGCAGAAGGCTTTGGGGTGCAGGGAGAGAGAGCACATGGGACTAAGCATGGCCTGCCTTGGTCCCTCACCATGAGGAATCTTGATGGTGCTGGAAGCATGGGAGGAGTTTACAATGGAATAAGATGAACAAGGACAGAAACCAGTGTGTGTGTGTGTGTGTGTGTGTGTGTGTGTGTGTGTGTGTGTGTGTGTGTAGGAGGCAGGGGATCTTGTCCTCCAGCACAGATGGAGTAATACTAAGACCTTCCTCGTTGTTCTTTTCTAGAAAGAGCAGAGACTATTGCTACAGAACAGTGGTGGGAGAGCAGCCCCCAGAACACATCTAGAAAGACTGATTTTTTTGATAGCTCAACAATATATTTTTCTTCCAAAGAAACATCTCACCAAATAACAAATGTGTATATGGTTTCAGCTGTTGGTTTTCCTGTGTTTGCAGAGAGCCCCCATCATCCTATCATATCTAACAATCACCTTCCAAAATGTGCTGCAGACACAGACCACAGACCCATCCCAGCTTAGTATGACAGTAGGGGGAGGGAGTGGACATCCCTGAAGCCCACACCAAGCCTGCCAAGCCACAGAGGCAGGCAGGATGCTGTGTCTTAGTGAACCTCTGCTAACTACAGTGTGAATACTGTGTGAGCTGTTACTAACATGCACTGTAGAGTGATATTGATAAAAACAATCGGAGCTTTGCAGATGAAATTTCTCCCATGTATTTGGTAAGTACATGAAGATACAAAGGACCGACCACACACCTATAAACTGGCCCAGCCAATGGAGTGTGCCTGCCACCATCCACCCATAGGCTCCCTGAAGCCCCTCCCATGGCATGTGGCCTGGAGAGACCACTCAGAGCTGGACCTCACTCTATGTATACAAATCATGGGGGTTTGTCCATGTTGGAAGGATCCCATCTTCTGGAATTAGTCCCAGGACACTTCCTCAGTGTGACAGAGCTGGGGTTGTCACTGGGGGTGTTGGAGTCATAGCTTGAGATCTGGCAGCTCCAAGAAGCAAGGCCCATCATCCATCCGAATATAACAGAGACCAGCTTTGGTGAAAAGCAACGAAAGCTGACTTATTCCACATGGACACATTGGGAGGAGAAGTCAGAGGTCCGGTGATCCCTAAGTCTGTAGGCTACTGAAGAGCTTTAGGCGTAGAGGATAGGGGGTATATGTATAACTAAACAGTCTCTCCCATGGCTAACACCAACCTTCCACCATTCCCCTCTGCCGCCATAGGACTCCTGAAGGTATTTTATTGTTTGTTGTCTCGGTCTGGTTGCTGAAAGGTGGGGGATGGGTGCATCCCCTCTCCTCCCAGAGCTGTTAAAGGGTCCAGAGGTGAAGTGCCTGCCTCCTGGGCCAGTATGGGGCACATGCTAAGTATGCAGATTGGTGCCACCCACTCTTAGGCAACTAAGTGGACCTAGACCAGCTCTGGCCAGCACAAGCTGGAGCGTGTACAGAGGTTCCTCTGGGTCCCCAGCAGAGGGCAGCCTCTCCTGGAACACAGACAGGGTAGTGCTTCTTAGGCAGAGTGCCCCCCTCCCCCACCCCACCTACCCAGCACCTCATCATCCAGGTCTGCAATCTGTAGTCTCCAGAAGATGGTTGACTTGCCCACAACAGGCAAGAGGGAAGGTATATGTGCCAGGAACTGTGTCAGGGAACATGACACTAAGCGGTTCCCGTATGAGGCTGACCGCCCTGTGTTTTTGCTCTCCAGGTCTCCTGACAATCGCAGCCCCTGCGGTGCCCCTGGGAGTGGCCGTGGCTCCCTGGAGACTCTACACCTCAGCCGCAGCCCTCCATCCTTCGTGGACACCGCCTGTTCTCCACCTACCCACAGTTTCCCAGAGGCCTGACAAGGACAGCCCAATTCCTCGGAGCCCTGAGCTCAAGTCTGTCCAGCTGAACCCAGGAGGCCAGGACTCAGACACACAGGGGGTGGTGCCAGGAATCAGCAATACCTGGTACGTGGAGCCTGGCCGCACCCACCCTCCCTAGCCACTTGCTCCCTGGAGTTGGAGGACAAGAACAAGGAGGCTGCAGCCCAGCCAGCTGGGCCACAACGCAAGGTCCGGGGACTGTTGGGAGCAGAAGCCACCACTTCCTGTGTCCCAGACTGTCTGAATCGCTTTTATTTTCTTATACTTTCAGTATACTCAATAGACCAAAGAGCAAATCTATTTTAACGTGGACGCGTCCCTGCTGCCAAGAGTTCCCGGGTTTGATTGTGGGGCGGGGGAGGGCACAGTGGCAGACATGCTGGTGGCCCAGGCAGCATGGAGAGGGCATCCGTGGCCAAGACCCCCGCCCCACGAACACTGCAGCGTGCTCTAGGAGGATGGCTTTGCCCAGAAGGACACCACTGTGGTGCACCTGCAGGACCCAGCCGGGGCGTGGCCGGCGACGGCCTCCAGCGGACAGCAAGGGCCCCGGACACAGACCCTTTGCCCCTGTGCTTAGACCAACTCTATCATACTAAAATCACTTTCTGTTTTAACCAGTTAGACATGCCTCTTCCACAGCTCCATTTTTGATAGTTGGATAATCCACCATTTGCCAAGAGCATGCTGGGTCTCCCGTGACTGCTATCTCATCTGATACGCCATTCAGCACCAGAAAGCAAATTAAAGAAAACTGAAGTAACCCTGTTTGAAAGAGATCATTAAATGTATTTTGCAAAAGCCTAAAGTTATATATTTAACAGTTTTTATATGTTGTATATTTGTAGAAAATCCTATTTAACATTTGACGGCAGGTCTGACCATCCCAAGAGTTGCGGCCAGGCCCCCTGTGATCCTGGAGACTCTGGGGTGGCCATGGAGGACCTCAATGCAGGCATGGAGGGGCCAAGCTGTGGGTGAGGTGCAGAGGACCTTGCCCATGCTAGGAAATCGTGTCTCTCTTTGCTTTGGTTTGGTCTGGTAGCTCACGCCTCCTGTGAGTCTGTGTGTTGGTAAACAGCGTGTACAATATTTTGGTCATGCCTCCTCTGATGGGTTTTGGTCCCTCTCTCTCTCTCTTAACCCCCTTCGCCATCCATAGATCCTGAGTCCATGTTCGGCCAATTTGCCTTTCCCAAGTAAATGCCCCCCCTTCATTCTCAGAGGTCCTTGTTCTCCACATCAGGAGGCTGAAAACAGCAGGGCTGGAGAGGGTGGAGGAGCTGGGGAAGAGTCACCTTCCTTGGTTGCTCTACACTGTGGTGCCAGAGGCCAGCGGATAAGGAACACACATGGTCCCCATTCATTCTCCTGAGTTCTTCTAAAAGTATACTACCTACACGTCCAATTAACATGACTATCATGCTAGTAATATGCTACTAAAGAAAAAAGTAAAAAAAAAAAAAAATGTATTTAACTCCAGTATATAGATGCCGTTCCAGCAACCATAGGCTAAAGATAGGAAAGAAAGCCCATTTCTGCAAGACCCATTCCAGTATCCACGTGTCCTCCCTTCATTCATGCAGAGGGATGAGCATCCTGGGCAAAGAGATGAGGCTGAGATGAGGGGGTTCTCGTCAGAGGAGGTGGTCAGGCAAGGCCACTGTGCCCCACAGTGCCAGGCTCTGACAGCCTGTGTTACAGGGGGTGAGCAGGGCACGAGGGCTCATGTCACCTCTGAACCTCAACATCCATACCACCTCCCCTCGGCTGTTTCTTTTGAAAGCTAGCATAGTCACATCTGAGGGCAGAGACCGGGAGATTTAAGATGTTGCAGCATATTTCCCCCCTTGTTTTACGGTATCCAATTTTGTGTTGATTCAGCTAAATTATGAAAATAAAGAAAAAAAAGTCCTTTGATAAGCATGGCTTTTGTTCCCTGGCCGTGGTGTCCTGGGAGAGGGGAATAGTTTGTGTGACTGGTGGGGACAGCTGGTGGGCACCATGCCCTGAGTCCTCCGGGATCACAGCACCTGAGACTGACGTCATCATCAGCTCACCCTTTGCAGTACTCTCTGGAAGTTGAGTGCCAAGAATTTCTTGGGCTTTGTAGCAATGGACTCAGAAGCCATCCCTGGGGTCAAGGTTGTACCCAGGGTTTCTGTACTATGTTGATAGTCCTGCTCAGGTGCGCTCTATACTGCTGGGATGAGCCCCTGACAGCCACCCCACCATGCACACACAGAGGGTTCTCTGCTCATTAAAGACATAACTGTCTGCTTTTCTTCACCCCCATGGGCCAGAGACATCCCAGGTGCCCCAAGAAAAGGACTGCCATATGTATCTGCTTGTTCTCCCAGTTCTTGTGAGCCATAATAGCCAGGACACAGAAGAGGAGTCCTGCTCAAAAGTCCATGCACCCCAAAGGATTCCCTTTTCACAGAAATCTGCTCAAGCCTCCAAAGAACAATCCTTGGAGATGAAGCCTAGAGTCACCATCCAGTGCCACTTGCCAGCTCCTTGTGACAAATACCAACCCTAGATAGCTGTGGCTGTTGGGTGGGATATGACTCTCTGATAGTCTGTTCTTTGTTACAAAGAGACTCCCGTTGATCGTCAAAGCCACAGAGGCAGGTAGACAAAACCCGTCTGCCTTTAAGGATCTGACTTGTGCTGGGCCTGAGAAGGTAGCACAGGGCAGCTTGTATCAGCCTGCAAAGTCTTCAACCAAACCCTGTCAGTTCTCATGTGAAGTCCGGATGCCCATGTCAGGAAGAGTAAGCCTAGGCTAGGGCACCCTCTGGCTTCTCCACAAAGGTATAGTGTGTGTGATAAGCTGCCCTAGAGTATGGCAGTCAGAGCATAGTCAGTATGAGACAGTGGGACAATTCCAGTGTCCCCTCCTCCATCCTCTAATCACATGCATGGCATTATTCCCAGGGGAGATGTCTATTACACCCCAGATAGGAAACTAGCAATAGACTAAAGCAGTACCACCAAAGTCCTACTTGATGTATCAATGAGTGTATTGGGGTTACAGGACATGGATGAGGAGTTACTGACAGGTCCGTGATCAACTCAAAAGCAGTTGCATCACCCAAAACCACCCAGCATAGGTGCCAACTCATGAAGAGAGATCTCCTTGCATGACTTGCAGGCAGCTCAAAAGGTTTAAGAGTCTCTGCTCTGCATCTTTATGGCTTATACAACCTTTGAGAGGGAGGTTTTTGTGACTGATAAGTTTCTGGGATTTTTTTGAGACTTGTGAGTTGCTTACTTCCTGGGTCTTAAGGCGCCTCCCCCTGGATGGAATGTTTCAGTTATGATGAATTGGTATACACCACTGCCCCTAAGGAGTCATCATGAGGAGAGATCCAGGAGTCTGGTGCAGAGAGGAAGATGAGGATGATCAGCTCCCTCTCCAGCATAGTAGGGCTGGTGAGTGCTGTGTAACAAACAGCCCTTCCTTCCAGAACTGGCCACAGGAGGACATGAGGGATTTTCTTTGGGTGAGGAGCCAATACAGGCTTGTGGAAATACGCCGTTCAGGAAGCTTCCTGGGCAGGCAAGCTCTAAGGAGTCTGGTATGGGCTGGAAGTCCATCCGTGGCCTAGAGGCACTGAATTAGGTGGGGGGTGTGCTCCTCCTGAGTAAGGGCATGACATGCACAGGCTTTTATTATCTCTGGCGAGAGAGATGGGCTCTGTGGTCAGTCTGTAGTCTTTGTTTCATCTTCCACAGAAGTCACCATGGGTGCTCTTCTTTGCTTCTCATGCCGATGCCCTGCAGGCACCTGTGGGTTAACAGCAGCTCCTCCACACATGAGCAAACACCTCTCTAAGACTCTGTATGGGCCCAGATGCCACCTTACAGGGGAGAGTAAGACTTTGGGCACAAGTCTTAGACTCTTCTCTCCCCAGATGCAAGTCCACCCCAGGACAGCTCTGCTCCAGAGCTGATGCTAGGCAGTTTCAAAAACCAAAAGATACCAAGATCCCTCTGGCCACTATGGCAGCTCAGCTGTCCAATGGGAAAGGCTCTCATACCTCCCACCAGGTCCCTGCCAGGTAGATAGATTGTAGTGGAGTCATTCAGGCCTAGGCTGATGCCACTTGATGGTATTTTCTATGGATCATTTGGGAAGTCATAGTTTCTGCTGGAGCCTCAGTTTACCCAATAGAAGAATGACAGGACTTTGGGGAGGCTTTCTGAATCAAGAACATGCTGCAGTGTTGGGAACCACAATCCAAGCACTGCATCACCTTCCTTCTCCCCTTTTGGGACTTTCTGAGCATCAGTGCCCATGCCAAGTTTTTGCCTCCCAGAATCTTACCAGGAACCTAGACAGTGACCCAGGACAAAGTGCTCTGAGCCTTATCTCCAATATCATGTTATGGAGATCAATTGAGTTTCACCCTATGGTAGGTAGGCACACCTGTGAAGCCATGTACCCATGCATTGGGACGTTCATGAGTCAGTACATGTGCTCACAGATTGTGCATGGTGGTATTCTTACACTAGGAGATGCCACTCTGTAGATAAACCTAGAGTTCCAGGACCCAGAGCCAGTGGGAATGAGGTGGTGGGAAGAAGGCAGGTGAGCAGGTGGGCATTGGTGGTGATGGCTGAACACCAGCATCAGAATGCAGGTGCTTGGGGTTGGCATAGAGTATGTGTCAGAGTGTGTGCACCCATGTTCATCTTCATCATTGCTGAAAATGTGGAGCGAGCACTTCCCGATCTGGAGTCCCAAAAGGGTCCCTGTGGTGTTTTCCACCTCACTGAGCACCAAGATTGTGATCAGAGATGTCCCTTAAAGGTAGGGGATAGCTGAGGTAGAGTGACAGCCACTGTCACCCAGAGAGAGAGCACTTTGCCTCTCTTTCCCTGCAGTGTCTGAGTCTCCCCTGCCTCCTGCTAGACACTTGACATCGGAAGGGGAAGCACAGGAGACCTGGTCCTGAGCTGCCCCTCAACTCGAGAAGTGAGTAGGCATGCAAGACTTACTCCTCTTAAAACTATCCTTAGCATGGAGAGACCCCAGATCTTGGGGGGAATCTAGAATGCACTAGATGGGAAGAGATAGGCTTCTGTACTTCACTTGGCTGGGTCATTCATAGGTTCTTCCCTCCTGTCTGTCTGAGCTGATGGTGGATATTCAGGGCCAGCCCAGGGGTGAGCAGCAACTGGGGAAAGCAGGTGGGGAAGGGTAGCATAGGCTTTTAAATGGAGTGGCCACACACACCATCTTTCAGGGATGAAGGACCAGATTAGAGGGTCATCTGTGTTGCTCCACAGAAAAGCCAGTACCTCAGGATCTCAAGACAGTGACCATTGTTGCCCAAACACATGTTCAGCCATCCCTATTTCAAGGTTCTGCCTCAGCTCCTGTCCCTATCTGCTCATGCAGATTACTCTGCGTTCCAATCAACTCCCCAACAACATGTATGTGGGAAGGGGTGTAGGATTTAGTCCCTCCTCACTCCTGGCTGGGTACCTGCCATGGAGACAGGATATTGCCAGACTCAATCACCTAGTGCACCCCTCTTTGCTCAGCACTGGCGTTGGTGCTCCCTCAAACCTGGGGCAACTATCACAGTTTCATTTTCTCAGAGCTCCTGTGTGCTGGCTCCATGCAGTGAGGGCTCATCTCATTCTATGGCCCCACGTACCTTCATCCAGAAGTCAACACCTCTGGGACATGCTGCATCCTAAATATATTTCATTTCTTTGTTTGTGCCTGCAGTCATGGTATTACTCTGAAATAATAACCACATTTGTTTTCTGCTTTTAAGAATATCATTTGTTTATTCTCTCCACCAACGCTTCAGGGAGGGAATTTGTCTCCGTCACTGGTCGTGGGTAGCCATTGGCCCCACGAAGCTGAGGTGGCCTTTGGTGGCTCAGCTGAAGCTTTTGCCTCTCTTTCTTGGGCTTTACTCTGAGAAGACTTTTTTCCTGGACAAAAGCAATCAGAAGATCTGATCTCTGTCTAGGGCACAGACCAGGCCTGTTTCAAATGAAGCCAGGGACTGTAAGGAGGGAAATGGCCCTTGGCTTCAAAAGTGAGTGCTAAAGAAAACGTATTTGGATTCCCATTCATCAAGACAAGAAAGGAAATATTTACTCAAAGACCCTGGTGGCAGGAGCCAAGACCAGAGACACATGCAGAGAACCTTAGCTGAACTCTACTCATAGCAAATGACATGGCCTTCCAGCCACCGGCCTGAATGAGGGGCTGAGCAGGATGAAGAGGACACATGGGGATGTGAATAGCAGATTTCCTGTGGAAGGCAGGACAAAAGCACGGATGCCCATGCCAGGGAAAGCAGAGCTTGATCATCAGCGGTTTGGGAATCCCCAACTGCACAGGGCTCTGAATGCTAGAGCGTAGACGCACAGTAGCATGAGTTTCCCCGTGGACAAAAGGAGACCCCAAGTCTGGGCAAAGTGTGATCAAGGGGTGTCTTTGTCATGAGTGTTCTTCGGACACAGCCCTGAAGCCTGTGAGAGCGCCACAGTCACCATCCTGAGCAGCGGAGAGGAGGATGCTCTGAGATGTGAGGTCACTGACATGGCATGAGGAAGTCACAGATCCTCTCGAGTGACACAGCTCTGTGATTCCCAGAGCACAGGGGTCTGCAGAAGAGAGAGATGGAGATAGATACTCTGGAAATCTGCCTTCCTATATGACTCCAGTTGGTGTCAAGCTGACAAAAACTAACATCACAAGAAAACTCTGGTATGATGACAGAGGCCATCCTGGCACAAGCAACTCCAGTCAGTGCAGGTTGGGTATAGCATTCATTGGCCCAGTATGGAGTCAGTGCTGCAGGAAGCAAAAGCTGCAGAAGCTTCCAGCCTGTGGCTAAAGGGTAGCTTGGCAACTCAGTTAGGCTCATGCACAGGCAGAAGCCTGCATG